GGGTTTCAGGTAGACTAATAATTTTTAAATTGTCTATCCTGGCTCTATTTTCCAGGTTAGTTGTTTTACTAGTGAGGTATCTTATGTTTTCATCTATTTTTTCATTCTTTTGTTTATTTGACTTATTCTCATTCTTTCATAGAGTCATTAGTTTCCACTTGCCCAATTATAATTTTTAACAAATTGTTTTCTTCTATTAGATTTTGTACCTCCTTTTCCATTTGGTCCATTTTTTAAGGAGTTCTTCTCCTCAGTGAGTTTTTGTGTCTCCTTTTCCATTTGGCCAATTCTGCTTTTTAAGGAGTTATTTTCTTCAGTGTACATTTTTTTCCAGTTGTCCAATTGTATTTTTTAAGGACTTGTTTTCTATAGTTAATTTTTGTCCTTCCTTTCCCAAGCTATTGACTCTCTCTTGCGTACCCCTCATTTCTTCTCCCAATGTTTCTTCTACCTCTCTTGTTTGACTTTTAAAATCCTTCTTGAGTTCTTCCAAGAAGGCTTTTTGGGCTTCAGACCAGTTCATATTCCCTTTTGAGGTTTCAGATATGGGTTTGTTGACAATGCTGTCCTCTTCAGAATTTCTGCCTTGATCTTCACTGTCCCCATAATAAGAATCTATGATATGTTTCTTTTTGCTCATGTTGTTTCTTATTTCCTGGCCTTTAAAAAAATTGAACTCTCCTGCTGGGGATCATGGGGCACTGACCCAAGCTTCTTGTACTAGGAGCCTGGGGTCTGATCATTGGCTTTGTGTGCTGGGGCCTCAGATACTGGCAGTTGGAGGGTATAGGGTTCTGGCAGCTTGCCTGGTGCTGGGCTGGGATCATCAACACTGGAGCTCTAGGAGTAGGGTTTGGGAGTCTGGCCACTGGAGGATGCCTCCTCACCCAGGACTTTTGTTCCTTTCTTTGGCTCCTTGCAGATAGCTGTTTCACTGCTGCATGATGTTTCTTCACCTGGGGCTTTCCCTCTTGGAGTTGTGCTTCCCAGAGTTTTGCTGAGGCATTGGGAGACTTGGCTGCCAGAGAATGCTATGGTATGTGGTGGTTTTCCAAGCCAGTTTCCACCAGTTCCCCTACTTGTACTGAGGCACTTGGGGTTCCTGGTGTCAGTGCTTACTTGCTCTACTATGTGTGTTTCAGGACCTCCCCCTGGTATGCAGAGGTAGGGCTTTCCACTAGCTCGCTGGGCCATCTCTCCTTCTGTACTGCTTTCCTGCACCCAGAGTGAGAGAGGCCTTTCCCATTAATCCCTCAAGCTTCCTGGGCTATAGCACTACTGCACCCCATATTTCTGCTGGTACAGCTGTTACAGGGTTTTTCCTGGTGTGATATTTTCTTGGCTTTCAGTGGTTAATAAGGGAGAGTAAGAGCAACTTACTTCTTACTACACCATCTATGCTCTCAGAAGTGGAACCCCTTCCTCTGGACTTTCAAATCATGCCCCTCTACTATGGGCTCATCCCAGAACTTTTCTCAGCACCTGGGGTCCACTTGCCCTGGAACTGTTATAATATTCTTGACATTTTCCCACTATTGTTCTATCCATTCCCCCTTGCCTGTAGTTTAGGGCTTTTCTAGCCTGAGAGAGTCAGTTAATGGTTACAACAGATAGTTCAGTAGTATTTAGAACCTTTATTGAGCACAACTCAGTGGAAGAGTTGAAGGAATGATCCAAGGAAAAAAGAAACCATATGTGGGGAGAAGAGGACAAGCTTTACTGATCAGAAGCTTTAAGAATATGGAGGAGAGGGGAAGATTTTCTGGGGGACTTGATCTCAAAGTAATCAGCAGAAGATTGGAGAGAAGTTCCCTGAGAGGTGTAAGGGGGGCTAGCTTTATATGAGCAAAGTGGGTGGGGTCAGTGACAAAATGAAGACCCATGTTTGGAAGTAAATAAAAAGCCAATGAATTCTTTTTTACATACTCATAGGGGGATGGGGAGTGGACTCCAGGGTTTTGGGGATAATTCTCTATGGGTTTCTTCTATGTTTGTCTTAAAATACCTCTTTAAACCTATAAAAATGTAAAGCTATGTAAAGTAGAATTAGAGCACTTTTCAGAGTGATCTGACCATTTCCTTTGGTTTAAACAAGAAAAATCTCTTGGTTTATGTCATTTTTACTCAGTCTTATTTGTGATGATATCTTCCTGTTAAATTAGAGTACACCCAAATATCCTTAACAGTCAATATCTTTTTGAGGCATGGCATTGACATATACTATATTAGCTGTATCTGACAACTTTGTGTCATCTACAAATATGATAAACATCATCTATGTCATTGTCAAAAATCATTGATAGAAATGTTAAACAACACAGGGCTAAATACAGATACCCACAGTATTCCATGACTATTCTGATCATTCAATTATTTTTTGAATCTAACTATTATCTATGCAAATTCCCTTCTTATGATCCACAAGAATAGCAATTACTTTCTCCAAATATAATTTTTTTCTTTTTACGTTTTTTAATTCAAAGGATTTTACATTTTTATTCATAAAATCAAAGCTGAAAGGGATTTTAGAGATCATTGAGTCCACCTACCTCATTTTATACATGAGGCACAGAAGGATTAAATGATCCTCCAGGGTCACAAGTTAGTAAATATCTGACTAGGATTCAAATTTAGGTTGTTCTTTTTCCAAGGCCAGCACTCTAGCCATTATATCATCTAGCTCTTAGCTTTCAGTTTTCCTTACTAGACTCAGATTATTCTGAGTTTTAGAGCTCCTGACACCAGTTGTTCAGGGCATGCCATGGTTTTGTATTTATCTTCCATAACCAGTCCTGGTTTAAAAAAAAAAAATCTAACTTGGTCAGTTAATTCATTGTGTTTCAATGGATACTTTATTTGGTCAGTGTGTACATAGATCACAACAGTCACATAATTTAGAAGATTACCTTCAAGAGTTGCTATGGCTCATAAAGAATGTGACCAACTTGGGGACAACCTTCTCTGGACATAGCAAGATTGTTCCAGGGACAACAAGACCTATGGTCATAATCATACTTGAAATCTTCATAGTTTGTTAGGATTATCCAAAGCTCATTCTCTGCTGACTAATCTTAAAAAAAAAATCTGGTGGTCACCTCCATACTAAACTGAGGCATCAGTTTAATATGAAAAAGATATGTCTGTATCTCAACAAATCTCTAAAATTTCTATATTTATATGGGTATTCATTGTTGTAGCAGGATACCAGAAGTAACCGCAAATTCTGAGCCTATCCCTCCAGTGTTCTTGGTAGCAACAAATTGGAAAGTCAAATGTAGGGAGCAAGAGTCTTCTCCTCAACTTTACTAAAACTAAAGAAGAAAAAAAAATGTTGTTTAAGTGCAGTGAGAGGAGGAAAGTGATAACACACTACCTCCATTCGAGAGCATGGAAAGTATGTATTAATGAAATTTAGTCACTTTAAGCCAAGAATGAGGGTTTTGACTGAGGTCTGCATAGAAACCTAAGATGTCCTTTTGTTCACTACCATGTAGAAAAGAGCAGAAGAACTGTTAACCAGTTTATAAATATGTTAATTCCTGGTTATCTCTTCTTAAGAATTGTAATATTTTCCTGAGGAAGTAGAAGTAGATAATAGAAGTTGGATCCAGCAACAATTAATAGCAAGAAGCTATTAGATTGAAGAAAAGAATTCCTGACATTCCCAAGAGTTGTGGGGGTCAGAATAGAGATGATCCAATGACCTTAAGTGTTTCAGAGGTAAAGAAGGATGAGAACTATCAAAAGGTTATTAGATTTAGAACCTTTGAAGAAGATCATTTCAGTTGAACATAGGGTGGAAACAAGATTGCAGAAGGTTTAGAATCAAGAAGGAGGAGAGGAAGTGGAAGCACTGATTATTCCCTGAAAGTGAAAAGAGATATGGGGCAATATTTAGGGAGATGGTAGGAGCAAGTAAGTTTCTTTTTTTCCCTCTTAAGAATGGGAGAGGGGCAGCTAGGTGGTGCAGTGGATAGAGCACTGGCCCTGAAGTCAGGAGGACCTGAGTTCAAATCCGGCCTCAGACCAAACACTTGACACTTACTAGCTGTGTGACCCTGGGCAAGTCACTTAACCCCAACTGCCTAAGCAAAAAAAAAAAAGAATGGGAGAGACATGAACACGTTTGTAGGTAGCAGGAATAGGCCCAGTATATAGAGACTGGAAATAGGAAAGAGACTGATGATGACCATGATAATAATCTTCTAAAGAAGATAGAAGGGGACAGTTTCAAAGGTGAATGTTGAGGTGTTGGTCTTAACAAGGAGAAGGGTCTCGTCTTGGTGTGACTGAAATGAATATCACCAGAAATCACCTGTATATACCCATTATGGCTCTAGACAGGTAACTTTATCTTTCCAGACTTGTTTCCTTTTCCGTAATATGAAGAATTTAAGCTAGTTGATTTCTAAGTTACCTTCAGGCTCAGACATTATGTGCTTCCATATTCTCAAATTAAGTCATGAATCATTTTAAATACCTACTGTGTGCTAGCCACTGGGCTAAGTGTTGGGACTTCTCTAACTTCTTTTGCTCTTGTCCCTATAACATAGCCATGAGATTTATCTTCTCATTGTCTAACACACAACTTAGCTATACCATTTAAAAATATTTCCTATTCGTATAACTTGTCTTTCCAACTAGATTGAAAACTACTTGTAGGCAAGGATTATTATCTTAAACTTCTTTTGTCTCTGCAACATCTAATATATGACTAATACAACAGTGCTAGGTACATGGTAAAAACACAATAATGCTTGTTTATTAATGAATCATTTTTGAAGACTAAGACCTAACTAATTCTTAGAACCAAGTTTTTTTTTCTTTTTTCCCCCAACCATCACCTTACTGTAGTAAATAAAAATAACTAAATCTTCTACTTCAAGTATTAAAGTATTACAGTATTGATGCATTATTATTAGCAATAGTTGACTTATGCCAATAAATATAAAAGCACAAGAAATAACAGCTATAGATTTGATTATATGTATTTCTTATACCTGATACAAAAAGTCTAGCACTGTTGCTCTGTCGTGTTTCCCCAGTGTATCTGTGCCGTGTAATACATCGGTAGTTATACAATCCATCTTCATTCTGTACATCTTTAATATACAAGGCTCCCGTGGATGTGATGAAAAATCTAGATCCTAAAGTACAGAAAAAATAATTAGTGAATTTAAAACCAAACAACCATTTAAACAAAAATATTCCCTTTGAGGAAAGGTAGTACAGAGCTAGATTCAACATTTTATACTTCTCTGAGTACCCATTTTGAACACTGTAAGTGATAACTTCAATAAATGAAGAAACTGAGTGAATAATTCACTCAGCTATTTTAATTATTCAAGGCCTCTAAATGAGAAATTCAAAGGAAGTAATATGCAAAATAGAAACATAAACTTCATAAATTGACACAGAAATTGTTTTCTTAGTTTCTACATTTCCACCAGAGCAAAATAATTGAGTTGCATCAATATATTTCAAGCCCCAAAGTTTCTGTGACCAAGTTAATGTAGATCATAGGATCTTAGTAGAGAAAATAGATTAATATTCAGAAAATAGATTAATATTCAAAAAATAAATTAACAAAAGAAGAAACAGACCCAATATTAGAAAAAGAAATTGGACAAATAATAAAAGAACATCCATGGGATAGGGAGGTAAAACCCCAGAACCACATTGATTTACAAGTAAATTCTGTCAAACATTCAAAGAACAGTTAATTACAATACAGCATAACTATTTGCAATGATAAGAAAAGAAAGTACCCTTTTAATCTATTTCTGTGATACAAATATGATATTACTAACTCAAACAAGGAGGAACAACAGTATAGAGAGAAAAAACCTACAGACAAATATCCTTAATGAACATTGATGCAAAAATTGTAAATAAAAAAGACTATAAAGGCAGATTATAAAAATTATGCACTATGACCAGGCTGGATTCATACTAGGAATGCTGAGTTAGTTCAGCATATGGAAGACTATAAATAAAATAAAAGACTATACATATAATAAACCTTTTTAAGAATAATAATATAAATCATTTGATTATATAAGTGAAGAAAAACCTTTTGACAAAACCTAACCCTTATCTACACATTAAAATATCTAGAGATTATAGGAATAAATGGACATTCTCCTAATATAGTAAATTGTTGTTGTTGTTGTTGTTGTTGTTGTTGAGTCATTCAGTCATGTCTGATTCTTCATGACCCCATGGATCATAGCATGCCAAGACCTTCTGTTATCCACTATTTCACAAAGTCTGTCCAAGTTCATATTCTTGACACTCTTTATTCATCTCATACTCTGCTGTTCCCTTTTTCTTTTTTCTTCAATCTTTACCAACATCAGGGTCTTTTCCAATGAATCCTAGCTTCTCATTAAGTAGCCAAAGTATTTAAGTTTCGACTTCAATGTTTGACTTTCTAGTGAATAGTCTGAATTAATTTCTTTAAGTATTGATTGATTTGATCCCTTTGATATCCAAGGGACTCTCAAAAACCTTCTCCAGCACCACAATTTGGAAGTATCTATTCTACAGCAATTAGCTTTCCTTATAGTGTAACTCACATCCAAACACTGCTACTGAAAAAATTATAGCTTTGAATATATAGGCTTTTGTTGACAAGGTAATCTCTCTGCTTTTTAGTATGTTGTTCAGATTTGCCATAGCTTTCCATCCAAGGAACAAGCATCTTCTAATTTCATGGCTACAGTCACTGTCAGCAGCCCAAGAATGATAAATCTGACCCTGGTTCCATTTCTACTCCTTCTATTTACCAGGAAGTGATGGGACCAGTTGACAAGATCTTCACTTTTTAAAATACTTATTTACTTTAAAAAAAAAAAATTCTTAAAGCCAGCTTTTATATTCTCCTCTTTCACCTTAAGAGTCTTCTTAATTCCTCTTCACTTTCTACCACCAGAGTGGTATCATGTACATATCTGAGATTGTTGATATTTTTTCTGGCAACTTGATATACTCTGCATATAAGTTAAATAAATAAGGTGACAATATGCAGCCTTATCTTACTCTTTTTCCAATCTCAAACCAATCACTTGCTCCCTGTTCAGTTCTAAGTGTTGCTTCTTGGTCCACATACAGGCTTCTCAGGAGACAAATAAGATGATCTGGTACTCCCATGCCTTTGAGGACTTGCCACTTTTTGTTGTGATCTACACAGTCAGAGGCTTTAGTGTAGTCAATGGAGCAGAAATAGATGCTTTTCTGGAATCCCCTTGCTTTCTCCATAATCCAACAGCAATTTGGTCTCGAGTTCCTCTCTTCTTTAAAAGCTAGCCTGCTCTTCTGGTAATTCTTGGTTCACATCTAGTTTAAATCCAAGAGTAAGTATTATAGTAATGGAGAAAAGTTAGAGGTCTTCCCAATAAGATCAAAGGTAAAGGAAGCAAACACATTATAAGAGCATTAGAAATGCTGGCTGCAGCAATAAGAGAAGAAAAGAAATTGAAAAATTGAGAATAAGAAAAGAAGAACCAAAAATATTGGTTTTTTTGTAAATCATATGATAGTATACTTACACTATGCTAGATAATCAACTGAAAAATTAATTGAAATAAAATCAACAAATTTATCAAATAATAAGATAAAATCACGTAAGTTATCAGTATTCTTGTATTATAAAAATAAAACTGAGAAGTGAGGGCTAGAAAGAGAAATTACATTGAAAACATAAAAAGAACGTATAAAATAGTTGGGAGTGTATATATCAAGATTCACCTATGGATTATCTAACTATGAAACACCCTTTGAAGAAATATAGAGAAAACAAAACAGTTGGAAAAAATTAATTTCTCACAAGTAGGTCAAGTTGATACAATACAAATGCCAAAACTTCTAAAATTAAATTACTGTTTCAGGGCTGTACCAAGCTCCCAAAATAATATTTTATAGATTAAAAAAAATAAATTAATGTAAAGGAACAAAAAGTGAAATATCTCAAAGACAATAATGAAAAACAGTGGGCATGAGTAGGGGTCTACTAGTAGCAGATATCAACAACTACTATAAAGGAGTAATCATTAAATGATATTATACTGATGAGAGAAAGAAAGACAGACAGACAGACAGGAAAACAGACAGATAGAGACAGATTTCATAATACAAAGCAAAAAAAAAATAGCATAGTGTTTGGCAACTTCCACCGTCACCCCTCCAAAAAAGTCAGTTAATGAAGAAGGACTTAGTATTAAAAAAAATTCTGGGGAAATTGGTTAGCATTATGTCAGAAATTAAGTTTAAACTAACACCTCACACCATACATTAAGATAAGCTTCAGATCAATAAATATCTTAGATATGAAATATCTCACTACAAACAAATTAGAAGAGCAAGGAAGAAATAAACTTTTGGATCTATGGCTAGGGGAAGACTTCATAACTATACAAGCAATAAAGGGAATCACAGGAAATAAAAGGGATAATTTTCATTATACAATTTTTTCTAAAAGGTTTTACTAAAATAAATCTAATGTAGTAGAAAAAAACTAGAAGGGAAATAGGTAAAAAATCATTGCAACAAATTTCTCTGATAAAGATCTCATATCCAACATATATAAAGAACAAATTTGTATTTATAAGACTATGAGCCATTCTCCAATAAATAATTGGATCAAACTATATGAACAGGTAGATTTCATAGGAAGAAACACAAACTATCAATAATCATAAGAACAAATCCTCTAAATCATTAGTAAAAAGAAAAATACAAATTAAAGCAACTTTGAGGTTTTCCCTCAGACCTATCAGAATGGCAGAGATAAGAAAAGGAAAATGCCAAATTAGTTGTGGAAAACTAGCTTACTGTTCTTGTATCTGTGAATTAGATCAGCCATTAGAGAAGGTGATTTGGACTACAACCATGAAATTATGAAACTATGTTTACCCTTTGTTCTAGCTACATCACTACTAGCCTATACTGCAAAGAAATGAAAGAATGAGGAAAGGGATCTATACATGCAAAAATAATTATAGTAGTCCTTTTCATGATGGCCAAAAATTGGAAAGGGGTTTCTAAACTGGAGAACTGTTAATCAAATTATGATATAGGAACATAAAGGAAAATTAATGTCCCATAAGAAATTATGAAATAGAGAATTTTAGCAGAAATTTGCAAGATCCCTATGAATTGTTGCCAAATAAATTGACCAAAACTAATAGAAAAATTTATACAATACTATGACATTATAAAAAAAAAGCAACTTTGGGGTGCAGAACCAAAATGGTGGAGTGAAAGCAATGACTTGCTTGAGCTCTTCCCTAAAGCCCTCAAAATACCTGTAAAATGGCTCTAAACAAGTTCTAGAGCATTAGAACCCACAAAAAGACAGAGTGAAACAAATTTCCAGCCCAAGACAACCTGGATGTTTGATTGGAAAGGTCTATCAAGCCAGGCTGGGAGAGGAACACAGTTTAGCATGGGCTACTCAGGCAAAGACCAGGCCTCAGTGAACTGGAGCTGCCATCAGAAGACTGAATCACAGACAGCTGTGGTGGTTTCAAGACTTCTCAACCCACAAACACCAAAGACAACTTAGAAGGTCAGTAGGAAATGTTTGTCAGACCTTGGTGAGAGAGGAGCTTGGTCCCAGCACTAGTCCTGGTGCAGCCCTAGGGCCATAGCTGCTTCCAGAACTCCCAGCCCACAGAAGGAGGGGGGAATCAAGTGGCTGATCAGAGAAGGATTGTAGGGATCTCTTTCCTGGTGTTGAGGCAGGATTTTCTTGCTTGGCCCTTGCTTGGATCCGGGTCACAGTTCTGGGTGGTGGTCCTGGGATGAGGAGGAGTGCTGGCATGGTAGAACTTGTGGCAGCAGTGGGGAGGGAATCCTCCTCATAGCTCCAAGGCAGAAAAGAGTGCTTATGGTCACTCACAGACCAGAGCACAGGTCAGGAAAGGAGTAAACACGTCACCTTTGATCATAGCACTTTGGAAGAACTGAAAACTTACAGATCCCTAGAAGTATCTCTGAAAACAGATGCACAAAACCCTTAAAGCTTGGAACAGTACATTCTACACACTAGAAACAGACCCCTACCTTAGCAAAGAGTTTAATAGAATTGACTGGGAATATGAACAAACAGCGCAAACAAGTCCATAGAATCTTACTTTGGTGACAA